CCGTCTACTCGTCACCCTCCCTCCTCCAGCAAGTCCGCAACTATCAAATCAAAGCCTCTTAAAACATCCAAACGAAAAACAGAACCTCTCAAACACAATAATTTTCTGTAACACAATGCCCACAGACCTTGCACAAACAAAATTATAATTGGTAAATTCTTTTGAATACGAAAGACTAATTCATTCAAATTAAAACATACTTCAACATATTTGCACCAAAATCTGTGATTTTAGTAGAGCATTAAACCCAATTAAAAAGCTTGAAAGAAGAATAGTCATGTCATGAGACATGAAGTAGTTTTTCTTGTTTTGTTCTGTAGTCTGGTTTATTAACCGTGATTCTATCCTCCCCGTCTCGAACAAGCCGAAGGCAAAGCAAAAACAGGAAAACATTACACCCTAATGGACTGGACAAAATATAGGCTTCTAATGGACCGAACAGCTCATGGGCCGAGCTTACATTCATCATTTTAATGGACTAGGCTAAATTATCGGCGCTTAATCCATGAGTCCAATTACAAAATGTTTCGGTTTTGGAGTGATCGAATTGCCATGCCTACTCTGTGACAAGTGAACATGGCTAACATTTACATGATTTGGTCAACTAAAAATCAAACAAAATTATATGATATGATAGCTTTAAACTCATATTTGTGAGCATTATTTGCTTGAAAAATTTTGATAAAGATCAAAAATGGAAAAGGAGATTTTGCAAATTAAACACTGATAGCAAAGAAAATTTTATGTATTTATAAGATATTGTTAAAAACTAATCATTATGTCCTCGTATGTGGTTAATCTCCAAAGTATACTCATGGAGACCCATTATATTTGTTTTTATAATATGGACTACACAAGTTGTAACTTTTGAGTTTTGAGTGAGAAATTTGATAAATTTACGTTGATAATTTTGAACTTCTTCATGAATATATTTCATGTCTAGTTAGCAACACAAATCCTAACCAATGAAAAACTTATCCTCCTTGATCACAAATCCATTAAGACGTCAAAAGCAGTGATGAGTTCTATGTTTGCATGGGAATAATAGAAAGCAAGACAACTACTTGTATGCCAAGGAGAAATATTCACTGCTTAGACGGTGATGTTGGGACTATGGTCTCGAATGGCTGTGCGACGAAATGTGGGATCAGAGTTCAAAAATTGTAATCTACGAAAGTTGAAGACAGAAGGAAATTGGATTGTTGCCTGATCAACATGAAAAACAAGGGTTTGATTTGGTTTGGGTTAGACCGTGTCTGTTGCAAGTTATATATGAGCTAGCCAGCCACATGGGAGAGTAAAGTGGCAACATAGATTAGCACTAGGTGTGGGTTCCCACGAGCCACACTCGTAATCCCTTTCTCCATTCCTCCACAATTGCTATATTCAAAAAAGTTACATATGAGCTAAAATAAGCTGGGTTAGATGGATTTATAAGTACTGTTTTTGAAATGGATAAGCTAAACTGAGATTTGATTTAAGAAAGTTGAGATGAGTTGTAGGTTTTTCCTTTTATTTTAAAAATATATAAAATATATTAATATTTATTTTAATTAATATATTACATATTTTTAAGGTAGTAAGAAGATTTTAAAAAATTAAAAGCACTAAACCATTGGAAAATGTCTCCAAATAAAGCCTAAGTCAATGCCCATCCTAACTTATTTAATTCATATGTCAAGTAATTTAAGTTAAAATATGTTATTAGATGAAAATTATTATCATGATTTGCTTTAAATGTGTGCTCCTAAAAAATTCTCAAATGACTTCGCACGTGTGGAATCTGAATGCAGGTGTGCCACTTATTTTTTTAAAAAGTAAGAAAAAGGATTCTCCCAATGACCTTCTCCTTCCACACGATCGATCTCCGTTATGATTACCGGAAGAAAGTTGGTTTAAGATTGAGTTTTGTGCCTTTTAGATGATTTGCAAAAGGGAGAGATGCCTTTCTATAAAATGGGTTGTTAATCTGTCTTAGACAATCTCAAGGACTTTACCACATTTATGAATGGTTAAATCCCCATTTTGGTCCCTGAACTATTGTACGGACCCCCGATTTGGTCCCTGAACTAAAGAAATCCCTGATTTAGTCCTTAAACTATTGTATGGACCCCTGATTTGGTCCCCACTGTTTATAATTTGGCCTAACTTGGTCCTTGAACTATTGTACGGACCCCCCATTTGGTCCTTACTGTTTACAATTTCGCCCCAATTTGGTCCCTGAGCTATTATTTAACAGAAGGACCAAGTTGTGGTTAAATTGGTAAACAGTAGGGACCAAATTGGGCATCCGTACAATAGTTTAGGGACTAACTTGGAAGTCCGTACAATAATTTAGGGATCAACTCAGGGGTCCGTACAATAGTTCAAGGACCAAATTAGGGATTTCTTTAGTTCAGGGACCAAATCGGGGGTCCGTACAATAGTTCAGGGTCTAAATAGGGGTTTAACCTTTATGAATTTAAGTTAATAGATCCAAAATGAACTGAATGAAATGAAAATTAGAGTACACCTGATGTTTATTGCACGAAAGGAAAATAAAAAAGCAATTACATAAACTAATTTGAGTACTTGAATGCTGAAAACAACTTAAATGTATTAGAATTTATGTTAAAACTGAAATATGAAAGCTAAGATGGGCAATCAGTATAAAACTAAAGAATTGAAAAACTGATGAGTTTCTATATAGGGCTGACCATGTCTTGAAAAAATCAGAAAGCTTCTATTTATATGCATCTTGCGAGCTATCTTTTGGCTGATAAGATCACAGATAACCTCTTCTCAAATTCTAAGGATTGCTGTTCCTTTTAAATTTAAACTGTAACAAACTAGATAACATTTATCTTTCTAACCAACTTTATAGATACGCATCTCTTCAGTAAATTTAATCTTACCTTATTTATTGACATGTGGCATCACTTTAAAAATACAATTTATGATGTAAACAATATGTAAGTTGTCAATTTTTGCCATTTCTATTTAAGAGTGATTAAAATTAAATTAGTCTAGTCAATCAAACTAATCCATATTCTTATAAAAATTTTCTATTGAATGCTCTATGTTGCAATTTGAACTACTCAAATTACACAATAGAGATTATTAGATGAAAACAATCCGTAATATCATAGAGCCCCCATCTAATAATGTAAAGTGGGCATTTTTTTTTTTTAAATGATTGGTATACCCTTCGATTCAACATATTTAACAACACCCTCCGGCTCACTTATTAAAATTTATTTTTAAAAATTTTCTTGCTTTGAATTTAAATTTAAAAATATTAATTTTTTAATTAATAAATTATAGTATATACAGTGTGTTAAATCAAAAAATGTACCGATCATTATCTTTTTTTTTTT